TCACTAACACTTGAAGGGAGTTCGGATGGTGAACTACTCACAACCCTCTTACTGATCAGAATCTATATCTTGATCTTGTTGATTTGAAATAGTTAATGAAAGGGTGAGGTACACTAATCTAGTAAGAATATCACACTAATCACATATACGAGAAACTGAAAATTGATAAAAATAAGAAAAAAACAACTAATAGAGTCATTGCTTTAATTAAATACATTTAACTTCAAGATGTTTGTTTAATACTTACCATTACGAGTTTTTCAAAAAATAACCTATGAAGACTTATATATATACTATTTTTTATTTTCACGCATGAGAGAACAAGAGACGATAATTTTCCTTTCTTACTTGCTTACTGGTACCTCTGGGGGTCCATAGGAATGTCTCTCTATTCGTGAGCCCAATATCTAATTTTAACAATTAACTAGCTGTTTCCATACGCCGTCTAGTAATGGGTGCCAAACATTTCATCGCCTTGGTACCCCGTCCGGTATGAGAGTGAACCATATCTCTCAAACCTTTTCAGTATGGAATTTTTCAACTCTGTTCGACTGAGGTGATGTTCATGGTAGGGTTTCTTATATACAGTACCCGTCTGCCCTTTCTCTGGGTACCCAGTAAATCTTTTACATAAAGATTCTCATTAAGCAAAACAACCAACAAACACATACCAATATCTCATATTATATTTATAGATCAATTAGATGATATTTATACAGATGATATATCTTATCATAATAAGAGATCGAGTAACTAGATAACCGAATAAATCAGATAAATTAATAAGACTATTGAAACTATAAATTAAGAACATGCATAAAGCGATAATAAGCAAGTAGGATAGTACATAAAAATAAATAGGAAATCAGGACAATTGTGAACTAATCAGTTTCAGCTCCACTAGTAACTTATAATTATTTTTTTTAAGATTTTCTAACTTTTCAATAAAACATAGAATTATACATCGTTAAGCCTCAATTTATCGTAACGAGGAATAGAGTGAGAAATTCTTACCCAGATTGGTATTTTGAGACGTCGCACTATCTAATACGCCTCTTAACGGGTACTGAATTTTCTGAACTTTTTATACGGAATTTAAAACAATTGTCACATACCTAAAAATACTCTAAAAATTAAAAATTGATGTACAAAACTCTTTCCAGCCAATTTTGGGGTTCTGGCACGGCACCGCTGTCGTACTCAAGCATTGGCTTCGTCGCCCGCAGCAGTGGTTCACCTCGACCTGGCCGGTTTTATCCGATTTTACACGTATCCTTGTAAAAAAACATGTCGGGGGCCTCGATTGGCTGAAAAATCACAAAACACCAAAACTACCAGCAAGGAGGGGGATCTCCGGGTGTCGCAGCTCCATCGGTTCTCCTTCGGAATTGGGATTCATTCTTTGGCTAACCTGTAAAGAAAAAAAAGATAGTGAACACAATCATCGAAAAATTGCGTGAAA